TTTCGACATTAGAAAACATAGCCTACATGAAGTCATATTATAGTAGCTCGATGCCTATCAAATAAGTAATAAAAATTCGCCATAATTCGTCAAATATCCGTGGCTGCCTGCAACCCCACCGCAGTGACATAGTCTAATGAAACTTGTTTATCATCTTGATACCTTCCGACGAAAATATCACCGAAAATATAGATAAAACGACAGTTGAATGACCAACAAAGACAACTGAAGACAATAGGTTGTCATTAGAAGTTATTTACTATAACTTTATTCGGAAAATTAATCCCAAAATCGAGTTGCCGTCCCCGGCGTTGTCAGTGACGTCGTATAATTTGTGTGCGATTTTTACCAATTAACCCCTAAGTAAAAAATAGTTGAGCCATGTGGTACCTTGCAAATCAATCCAGAAGCCTGGTAGTTTGTTGATTGTTCATTGGTAGCGTCCTCGCTGCCAAAGATAGTTTTTTGGCAGTTACGTCCCCGGTGACATCGTGAAGGTATGGTGAAGGCTGGTTACAATTTGGTGGCACATCGATTGAGTATTTTCATTCATCTGGCCATGTAAGTCAGTGGCGTATCTATGTCTTGAAATGGCGGGGGGCCGATGGGGGAGCGCGAAGGTGAAGTGGGGGATCGCGAAGGTGAAGTGGGGGGGGGTGGCTCGATGATCAGTTAAGGGGCACTAATTCGCAAAATAAGGTGATTTTAGGTGATTTTTAACTACTTGACCTTGATTTGAAACCAGAGTTAGTATAATCTTAGGTAAGCATGTGGTTAACATAAGCAAGAATTTAGTCCAATGAAACTGTTTATCATCTTGATACCTTCCGACGAAAATTGACCCTACCAGCGTCACCTCGGCGTCCCCACCGATCGATCTAACGTGACGTTGTTATGTGGGTGTTTTATAGATTATTGAGAATGGTAATATCACCAAAAAAATAGATGAAAATGACAGTTAAATGACCAACAAAGACAACTGAAGACAATAGTTCGTTATTAGAAGTTATTTAGTATAACTTTATTCGGAAAATTAATCTCAAAATCGAGTTGCCGTCCCCGGCGTTGTCAGTGACGTCGTTTGATTTGTGTGCGATTTTTACCAATTACCCCCTAAGTAAAAAATAGTTGAGCAATGTAGTACCTTGCAAATCAACCCAGAAACCCGGTAGTTTGTTGATTGTTTATTGGTAGCGGCCTTTCGCTGCCAAAAATAGTTGGCAGTTGCGTCCGGTTGACATCCACTTTACAAATGTTAAAAAATAACCAACATAAATTTTTAAGTATTAAAGTGCCATTCTCTAACTTTATCTCATGCAGCCACAAACATGACGGGGCTCAGGTGGATATAGTAATTTTCCTAGTTTTTATGTATGACATTGCCATTTTCCGGCATCAATTGTACTATTCAAGTGCTTTTTTGTGCATATAACGAGTCTCAACTTCTCAAAATGTTCTCACCTGAGCCCCAACCATAGTGGGGCTCAGTTGAATAGGGTAGTTTTTAGAATAGTAAGTACTTAAATTTCATTTTCGGGTACCTAATTAATTAATTAACAGTATTATTTAATAGGTAATGTAAGTTCCATTTTGGGGCATCCAGTGGTATAAAATACTGAAATTTTTGCGTCACCGCCAACGACGATGGTACTGACGTGATGTGGACTCTCATTACATCAGCACCCCGTTCTTTAAAATATGGATACGCCACTTTGCTGAAAACAATAGTTAAGACAAATATATTTCCATTCGTTCATGTAAATGTCTGATAGGTTATTACTTTAAAACAATGCTAAAAACACAGTGTCAATACGAACATTTACACATGTAAGACTGAGCTGAGCGACTCCGAATTGGGTGGAATTAGTAGTGGTTATGTGACGTTTGTCATGCACTGTATTATGCGCTATAGAAATGGAAGACCGTAATGTAATGGGAATGAACGTCTCTGGTATTGCCGACAGTACAATCAGTGTAAAATATAGGCTAGTGTGGATTTAAACAATGTCCTAATGGCAATGTTCAAAAGAAATGTAAATCAAATAAACATGACTGTTGGGGTAAGAGGGGGTGTATCTTTGTAGTTAGGCAGTTATATACTGTCTTTATCTCTAAACAAACTTTAATTTTAACACCGGGTCTCCATTTTAAAAGCTCCTAAGAGTTTCGTGGAGGTCCTTTTCGTCGCTCTGTTTTTGAATATGGTTGAGTTTACTTTGTCATGAATTGCAAAGAACATGAATAAAGAAATAAAATGAAAAATGTAAAAAATATGTCTATATGCGTACAACAACCAGATTATAGAATTTACTAATAGATCAATAACTTTCCAATGATAACCACATGAACTACATTACTCCACCAAATTTTAGAAATAATATCAGTATTGTACAAATAAACGGCATCATACTTTTTATGTTAATCATCTATTTATTTTGGCGCACATTGATCATACAGTGCTCCTATCATTCCTATCATTATCAAAATCGAACGCACAATGAACAGATCATAATTATGCCTATACAAAAAGAAATTATTAGATCATCACTGCAGCCCGCGTCAACAAAATTGGGAAATATTGATGCGGAATTTTAAGAAAATGTTTCTTTTTCTTGGCCGCATCATTTTTTCAACAGCATAAAAAACTATGTAATTTTGTGATTTGAAATACGTTTTCTTTAAAAACAATAAAAATTAAACCTGTTTTTATACAATATTTGCAATATTCTTGCCAAATAAAAATGTCCCTCCCTCATCTATTAAAAGAAGCAGTTGTTCTGATTTAAGAAAATAGTGATCTAATAATTTTTCCTATGTGCCCTAAATTGGCTATAGTGGGACATAAATATCTTGTTGAATATTTTTTTTTTAAATCCTATTCTTTTTCATTGTGTCCAATGGTTGCCAAATTGGCTATAGTGGGACACAGTGACGAAGTACAACTGTCTTTTTAAATATTTTCTAAGTTAATCCTTTTCTTTTTCATTGTGTTCCATGGCTGCTAAGAGCACATAGAAAAAATTATTAGATTATCACTCTTTAAAAAAAAACGATGAGGGAGGGCGGTTTTTGTTTTTTTTTTTTTTTAATCAGAACAATTCGTTATGGCGCTTTTGTTTTTATTGATGGGGGAGGGACTATTTATATTTGCTAGTTATAGGCCTAGTAAATATTGTATAACTTACATATATATATATAAAACGTTATATATATATTACGTATATAAAACATGGTAAAAACTGGTTTAATTTTATAGTTTTTTTAAAGAAATGCATCTGAAGTCATAAAATAGCATTGTGTTATGCTGTTAAAATAATTGAAGCGGCAAAAAAAAAAATTGGTTTTTATTCCCACATCAATATTTCAAGAATTTTTCCCGCCCGGGGGGGGGGGGTGGTGGGGGAGTGATAATCTAACAATTTATTCAGTGCCCTAAATTGGCTATAGTGGGACAGAGTGATAAACTATAAATATCTTGTTTAATATTTTCCAAGATAATCCTATTCTTTTTCATTGTGTCCAGTGGTTGCCAAATTGGCTATAGTGGGACACAGTGATACCACAAATACAAATGTGCGTAGCGATATTTTATTGCTTTAGAAATGTGATTTAAAAATAAATGTATATTGAATCACGCATTGAGTATTCAATATATTTTCACGACAGGTTGGGCAAAGTACATATATG